ATCCCCGTCCCCATCCCGTCCCCTGCCGGGGCGGTGCCAGCGCGGGGCGGAGGCGGAACGCGGCTCGGGAGCCCAGCCCGTGTGTCCGTGTCCCCCCTGCCGTGTCCCCGCAGCCCCGGCGCGATGTCGCGGCCGCTGTCGGACCAGGAGCGGCGGAAGCAGATCAGCATCCGCGGCATCGTGGGCGCGGAGAGCGTGGCCGAGCTGAAGCGAGGCTTCAACCGGCACCTGCACTTCACCCTGGTCAAGGACCGCAATGTGGCCACCCCACGCGATTACTACTTCGCCCTGGCCCACACCGTGCGGGACCACCTGGTGGGGCGCTGGATCCGCACCCAGCAGTACTACTACGAGAAGGATCCCAAGGTGGGAGCGCTGGGAGATGGGGGGAGCCCCTCGGTGCTGACCCCCCCGGGTTGTGGCTGGGGTGGGCACCGTGGATGTGAATCCTCCCTCCGCGCTGGAAGAGAGGGGTTGGCGGGGTTTTTCCTGGATTTGGGGCTGTTCCGGTGACTTTTCCGAGAGGAGGGACTGGACTTTACCGAGCGAGGCCACTGTCCTTTGCTCTGCTAAACAAACAGAGCTCGGCTTGGCCGGCAGCGGGGCGCAGGCCATGGGAACGCCGCTGGTTGTCCCGCGGCGCCGGCGTGGGTGCTGCCTACCAAAAGCAGCTCCAAAGCCTTCCCGGGGGAATCACTGCAAAGGCTTAAAGGCACCCGAACCAACCGCAAACAGGTCTTGTTTAACACGAGTGATGCCAAGCGTGAGAGATCCGGTTTGTGCAGGAGTTGCCGCTCGTCCCGCTGGTTTGCTGCGGGCTCTGCCGCGGGGGGATTAAGCCCTAATCCCCCTCCTGACACCTGGATGTCCCTGTCGCCATCAATTTCCTCGCTGGACACCTCGCTGGGACCGTGCCAGCCGCGGTAGCTCGGCGCTGCCCCGTGTTGTGCAGGGCTCAGGAGCCTCTTGCTGCTTTTGGGTTCTCCAGTGCAGCCGGGGCGAGCTCGGTGCTGCCTGCCTGGAGCCAAACCAGTAAATCCCAGTATCAGGATCCCAGATCCCACCCGGCACATCCCGCCGGTGGCAGGAGCCTCGGGACGAGCCGATCTTTGCGGTCCCTCCCGACTCCAAAGCATTTCAGCGCTCCGGGATTCTATCCCACCTCCATTCCCGGCCCGACCCCGGGCAGGTCCTGGGGAAACCTGTCGAGTCAGCGACTTCCCCAAGCCTAAATCCTTCCTTAAAACCTGCCGGTGCTGACGCCGGGGCTCGGCTTACACAAGGCCGGAGCGGTGTCAGCGGAGTGTCCCCTGCTGCAGGGGGACAGCACATGTCCCATGTCCCCTCTGCCACCGCCCGGCCCCGCAGCTCGCCCGCTTTGCCTTTGCAGCCCGGAGTGACGGGAGGGAACGATTCCTATTTAAATTTTAATTTAGTGCTGCCACCGGTGTGTGTGTGGGGTGACCCCAACCCTGGGGCTTGTCCAAAAAAAACCCAGCATCTTCCCAAGGAAGGCCCTGAAATTCCTGGTGGTGCAAAGCACCTTGCTCTGTTCAGAGCTGGGGTTTTTTCCTGTTTGTTTTTGAGATATCACCCAACAGCACCTTGTGGAGCTGAGGGAATCCTCCTCCAGCCCTGGGAAAAGTGACCACGGGGTGGTTTTCTCTCTCTTCCAGAGGATTTATTACCTCTCCCTGGAATTCTACATGGGGAGGACGCTGCAGAACACGATGATTAACCTGGGGCTGCAGAACGCCTGTGACGAGGCCGTCTACCAGGTGAGCATCCCACGAGGGGTGAGGACCTGCACTGGGAGGGATCCACGTTCTCCAGCTCCTGGGAACGTCAGTGCTTTGCTACATTGGCTGTAAACTGCTCTCTGAGCCGCAGGGAAGGATTTTGGGGAATAAAGACTGCTCCAGGAAAGCCTGGAGCTGCCTGTGCTGGGTTCTGGGGAATGCAGCAGGATCCTGTGTCCTGGAAGGAAACTCGTGGTTCTGTGGATGAGGCTGTTCATATCCATGATCAGAGGCAGGGAGGGACAAAACCTTGAATTAAGCCCGGCTGGGTGCTGGCACTGGGGTTATCAAAGGGTTCTGGGTGGCTCCTTTTGTCCCTACCCTGTCACCTCTTGTGTTCAGCATCACCAGATGTGGCCTGGGTGATTGCACAAGAGCAGGAACAGCTTTCACAGGAGAGGAATTTATTTTTAGGGGGGTTAGAATTTTTTATCCCCACTTGCTGTGACCAGGGGACATCAGGGCGGGGAATGGACCAAAGGTCTCCACCTGAGCTCCCCAGGGAGTTTTACATAAGCAAAACCACTTCCTCCTACAGCATCCAGGGCAGGAAAATTTAAATTTCCCTGGAAAAGGGGTCTAGATGCTTTCTCACCCTGAAGGGTGATGCCTGCAGGTGGGAGGAAGGGTGCCTGGGTGCCTGTTCCAGGGGATGGAGGTGCTGAGGGAGCAGGAACACAGCACTTGGGTCCTGTCCCCAGGGGATTGGGATGCTGGGGGAGCAGGAGGATGGCAGCCAGGTGCCTTCCCGCAGGGAATAGGGAATATTCCACCTGGAATTCCACCTGGGTGGCTGCCTCGGGGGATAGGGGTGCTGGGGAAACAGGAACCTGGTGCCTGCCCCTGCAGGACTGCAGCCATGGAGAGAGGGAGCTCTCAGAGCCCTTGGAAGTGTCTGGAACCCCAAGGGCAGCACCCTGGTTATGGTTTGGTGCCCCCCACCCCCAGATCTTGCCCATGGCGAGGTCAGGGGTGTGAATGTCCCTTGGTAGAGTGACTTTAAACATGGGAGATGTCTCCTGCCATGGCACAGAGACCCAGCTGAGGGGGAGAGCAGCTGCTGTGGGTTCAAATCACAGTGTCCCACCTGCAGAGATGGGTCTTGTAGAATTGGGTGCCTTTCCAGCCCTCCTGGAGCCCACCTGCAGGGGATTGTGTGCCAACAATGCCTCCCCTCCGTGGGGCTGGGCACTCTGACAGTCT